ATCTCTCTCTGTATATGTGGGTGCATTCAGGTTTAAGTAATATTGAAACTTTTGTTATGTTATTTTTAACAGTGTTGTTTGTTTTTGTAGTGATCCTCAGTTAGATGATTCCAGACACTCTTCTCTGGATTATAGTAAGGTAATGCATTTTTTACACAATAAATTCATAAACTAATAAGTAATAAAAGAGGTGGTTCATACTCTTATATATGTGTGTTATATGTGTTCTCTCAGTTGTATCTGCAGGTGTTGCAAGAGAATGGAGATCTAAAAGAGAAGCTTCAAGAAACTCAACTGCAGTTAAATGAGAGTAAAGTTCAACTGGAGAAACTCAAACAGGTGAGAGGTTTTTTTTTTGGTTCTGAGAGCTGAGGATAGGAAAGAAATGTTGAACCACTAAAGTGAGTCAGATTTTTTTGACTGTTCTATTTGTTTGTATCAACACAGAATCAAGAGAATGGATCAGACAGACCAGCCCTGCTGGAGTTGGAGAGATTTGTAAGTTCCTATATTTTCATGCCATACTGCTGTTTGGGTGTCTTCATTTTAGTGGTAACATTGCTGCAATTTGTTTACATTAGTTAATGCACTGTATCATGAACAACAACAATAATCAACTTTTTTTTTTCATTAATACAAGATGAAATGTTAAAAATGTGTTGGTACATTAAGTAATTAATGTTAAGTAAGAAATAATTCACGACGGGCTGTTGAATTATTAAGCTTATTACATTTGTAGGACTAATTTCTTACACATCTCATTAGGGCTGTCACGGTGAGGGAATTTCCCTTGCGGTAATTTTGAGTGGCTCAATAGCGCGGTATGCGGTTTTACCGCCATAAATATACATATATATATATATATATATATATACAGTGGGTACGGAAAGTATTCAGACCCTTTCACAAATATATATGACTCTGCCTGGAGGACAGACGCAAGTAATCGCACGTGCTCAGTCGATCTCTCTCTCATTCACTGTCTGTTTAGGCTTGTTAAGTGCAAATCTACGGAGCCTCTGTACAAATCAGCATGGAACACATTATGTTATCATTACTAACTTGTTTAATATTCAGTCCACATGCATGAAGTGTAAAACGAGAAGGGCATAACCTTACGAAAAAATAAAACACGGAAAAATCGCGCTTGCTGCGGTTCTTGCATTCCTCTGCGGTTTGCTCGTCAATAGCGTGGTATTGCGATATTGCGGTTATCGCGACAGCCCTACATCTCATCTCAGGGACCCTTTGCTAAGGCCAAACGTCATTTTAGAGCTAATGGAGGTTTGAGCCACTGATATGAGAGAGAAATTAAGCATGTGTGCATTACCTGAATCTGTGTCTCTGAACAGACACTCTTTAACAGCAGTGTCTCTACTAAGGGCGAAACTGAAGGTTTAACTGCTTCAAGAACAGCGACGTTACTACATCACTACTGAGAAATATTATGTAGCTTTTCAGTTGCAAAACTATTTTATTGATAAAGTCATGGGGCAGCGCTGACAAGAATTTTGTCATTGTATGTTTTGTCATTGTATGTTTCAGTGTGTGTGCGTTTGTATGGGAGAGAGTGGGAGAAAGAGAGTATGTTCTTCCATAGATAATAAAACATAATTTCGGGGGGAAATATGTAAATACTTGATCTTTTTTCCTGTTATTTAATATATTTATTTGCTTAGTGTCTTTGTGGTTTTTGGTTCTTATGCTGTCGTATTCTCTAAGGACCATTTGGTGACCATAATTTGGTTTAGTGATATTGAACTGCAATGCGGTCAAGACCTGGAACTACTTCAGCATTGTGTTTCCCTGAAAATAATTGCACATCTTAGAATGTTCGTCAGCCAATCAGATTCAAGCATTCAACAGCCCTGTAGTATAACCTAGATTAATAAATGCTATAAAAATATTGTTATTTCACCTAATGCACGGATGTTAACGGATTGAACCTTATTGTAAAGTGTTTTTTTGTTTGTTTTGTTTTTAATTCTGCTCTATTCTTTATTCAGGAAAAGAAACTACTTCAGCGGAGAGCATCTGAGTTAGAAGATGAACTCAAAGTAAGAGCTTGAGCTTTACAGTATTTAGAAATGTTTCAAAATTTCAGAAACGATTCATGGTTAAAATTGTTAAACAGAGCTGTGATTACTGCAGTCTTTTGATAGTTGGAAACACAATTAGCCAAACATGCAAAAGGTAGGAGCTGTCTAGAACTTTGTGTATGATGGATATGCCAAATCCGCAGAGATTTCCTTAAAGTTTGTGCATATACAGGTTCCATGTGGGCCTGCTCATCTCACTCTCTGTCCCCCCCTCCAGGTGCTTGTGGATTTGCGTGCTGACAACCAGAGACTGAAAGATGAAAATGCAGCTCTCATTCGTGTCATTAGTAAGCTGTCTAAATGAATCTTTGGGTTCTTTGGATTTTTTTTCCTGAATTCCTTGGGAAAGTTGCTGTCCCATTGTCTGCCCAAAGAACTGCACATTTTTCTATCCCTCTCTCATCTCTGGGACATATGCCCCTGCCTGGGGTGGTTAAACTACTGTTCTTCAAATTGATATGTACATATGTAAGGCCTTGTTTAGCTGCCACTCTAGACCCATCAAAACTGGAATTTTCAACGACTCTAGAACTCAAGTCCATCTGCTGTTCAGCTACTCTAGATAATGGTGTTCAGTTCTGATTCAGGGTGCTCTTGTATCATTTGTAATGTTATTGATTTCTTTTGTGCAATGTGCTTGCTGCTTTTTTATTAATGGCACAGATAAGACTCGTAGCTTTAATGTTCCTTAAAATTCTGCAGACTAGCCATCGCACTTAGTTCATGCCCTTAATGTGCCCTACACTGCGCTGCACTGATGAAAATTTTATTGATTAATTTGAAGTTTCAGTTCAGGTTTACTGTTCAGTTTCACTTGGAGACAGCTACCATTGCAATCATTGCCTTTTAGCAGGTACCTCTAGAAAACGGCAAAGATAGATAAATCAAGATTTTACAGAAAATAGAATATTGTTCATTAATAACAAAAACTATATATTACAGATCAAAAATCTGTAATGTTAACAGAACGGGTTAATGTACATTGAAATAGAAATGGCATTTTAATATATTTTCTTATACATTCATATTTGAATGTACATAAACCACTGATCTGTTAAGCAGTATCTAACATTTGTTAAAGGCTTATTACTGAAATCGCAGTGTTACCAGACTTACAGATGTTTAAACTGAGCTTTTTAATGCCATGGCAATGTCAGCTGGGCAATGCCATCATCATTTTAGCTTGAAAAATCATTTTAATATTTCTTGAAATGGTAAACAAAAAAATAAATATATAAAGGAAAAAAAATGTGCCAAACAGAAACGACATTTGCTCAGGGGTCTCTTAGTGAGACAGTAGGCGGTCTTGGGGTAGTGTGTCTTTTTCTCAGTATGTATCTGGATTAACACTGTACTTTTGCTGACTACTGCTCTTTGGACCAAACAGGCATTAGTATGAATCTATTTCTCTATTATTGCATATTTATGAATATATTATATATGGTGAATTTTGATGCTGTTGTGTTCTGCCAGTGGTGTAATCTCTTTTTATTAGGAAGAGACGCAAAAGTGTTTTGTACTGTGACTGTAAGTTTTGTCCTAAACCAAACTGGCGCCATAGGTCAAAGCTTTTAAAGGTTTACCACTGTTTATTTGTTTTTGTTTTTTCCCCTAAAATTATTGCTTTCAGGACTCAAGCATTTGTTCATCCAGCAAGTGTATTTTGCCAAAAATGTGCCTTTCTATATAATTATATATAGATAGAATATATCTCTGTTGCTTTGTTAAAAATGTTAGAGTCTCTCTCTGACAAATAAAGATTAATGCAAATGGTTGGGTAACAACCATTAAAACAATCTGTGCACCAGTGCTGTTATCTTTTTTTATGCATAAATAAATAATGGCTTGCTAGACATTATTTTCAGAGGTTTGATTTCCCATTAGTGGCAGTGGTAGGACAATTAAATGAGATGCAAGTAGACAAGTGTGTGGTTAAGAGTATCATTCCTCCTGGGAAACATCACAGTACAGTTTCATTACCAGTCTTTACTGAGTCCTATTACAAACTTAAAATATGGCTAATGGTGTTGTTGTTCTAGTTTATATTTGAATCTTGGAAAGATATTTTATTGTAAAGAAATGAGTGGTTATAGGAATAATACATTCTAAAGATATTTCACCTGTCCTGCAGTTCCACTATAACATGGTAAACTACATGCATTATTAGTGGGTTTACTTAAAAACTCTATTACTTTTAGAATGATATGGACTGAACTCTTTTATCGGACAATGACTTGTATACACACATTAGCTCATTTTATATATTTATTTCTATTTTTTAACATTTACTATAAAGACTACATTATAAATGTTATATTATTATATAAATATTTTAAATTACAAGTTTCCACTTTTTAAAAGTACACTGAACATAGTGTATCCCAGCCATGGTCCTGGAGGACCCCTGACCGTACACATTTTGGGTCAATTCCAATCGGAAATGAGCATTAGTATGCCCTACTCACTCCAAACGTCAAAGCCCTTGAAGTCGGAACTCTTGAGAGAAGGCGGCGATCGTGTCTCATTATGTGGCCAGTCTGTAACGTTTACCACATTGTTTCCTCATTATCTTTACCTGCTAGAATGTTATCAAGACTATAGTGCAGCATCAGTTACCCCATTAGCTGTTCTTAGGACAGGAATTTCTTTTTTCTGTTAATACTGTTGTTGCAAATAAATATTTTGCATTGAAGTTTTATAAATATTGCCTTTGTGTCTCATTTTTAAATAGCTTTATTCCCTCATGCAAATATAAATATAAAATATACTATATGTACCTACGGTATATACCTACACTATATACAATATACTATATATATATTTTTTTTTTTTGCCAAAAGTCATTTGGTGCATTGGAGGTTTTAATAATTACTTCATAGCCATATGTTTTTAAAATGAATCATGAAGACTCACCGACCTGGGTAATATGTTCATCAATGATAAAATTACTTTCTTGAAGTGACCCTCACATGTATGGCCTTGTGGGAGGGCCCTTATGAAAAGGTTAATTTGCTCACTTTCATTCAGAACAAAACTTTTAACCCCTTCCCGTGGTGCTCTTCAAAGGTGCAAAAATGGCATTTATAATTGCATTTTAATGCGCCCATTTTAAGTCATGGAGCTTTACTAACAAGCTGATGATTTGAGTCAGGTGTATTTGATTAGGGACTCAGATCATATTTATTTCTACAGCACATTTAAAAATATCAGGTTACCCGCTGTAACCTCGTTTCTCTGAGGGAAAGGAATGAAACAAAGACTATTCTATGGGTGTTGCACCCTCTCGCGACTGTTCTTGAAGATCTAAACATGCCTTCGGCAGCGGGAATTGGCTGCTGACTTTAGGGCCATGCCACCATACTATAAGGCCGACCAGCAGCCCATTCATATTTAGGCTGCATGCATAAACTTAGGTAGTTGAATAGATGCCTCGCTACCCTATCAGCCAATGACTTGCAATGCAGGCAGTGTTTATGCATGAAGGCACCTCCTGAAACTGATTTTCCAGACTTCTGAGTTAATGATCTACAACTAAATATATGGTGCTATGGTGATAATTTAAGCAAATATTTTATTACAAAACTAATTTATCGCTAGAAATGACATAATTGGAAAAAGTTGGTCACAAACTGACCACTAACTGCAACTTTTAGATGCCATGTCTTCATGGTGCCAAATGCACAGGATAGTGGGTTATCATAGGCAGCTAGTGGGATATCATGGCAACCTGATATTTTTAAATGTGCTGTAGAAATAAATATGATTGATTGAGTCCCTAATCAAATAGGCCTACACCTGACTCAAATCATCAACTTGTTAGTAGATGCTCCATGACTTAAAATGGGCGCCATCCTCAAGAATCGTCTAAAAACACATCTCTTCCCTCTTTATTTGACCCTCTAACTCTAGCACTCTCTATTGTAATTCTATTTTATCTATTTGTTGACTTGACCCTCTAACACTTGCACTCTCTATTCGTTTTCAAACTGCTTGTTTTCTTTAAAAAAGGCCTCTAACACTAGCTTTTTCTATTCTATCTACTTGTTTTCTTTTTATGTGTATGTATGTGTAAAGCGTCTGCTAAATGACTACATAAATAAATAAATAAATAAAAAGGGCCTCTAAATATAAAAAAATTAAGTGGAATAAAGATTGGATTGTGTCCTTGATTAGCTTTTGATAAGATGTTGGTAAAATTTGTGTGTGTGGTCTTAGATTCCTATTCATTTTGTAAATACAGCCTAAGCCTGACAGTTTAAGAACAATCACACCAGGATAGATGAAAAACGATCCACAAATACAAGTTTATTTCAGCTGTTGTACTCAAATGATAACAACTAACAACAGACACAGTTTTAAAGCATTGCAAGCTACAGCACAACGAACTGAAATCAAAGTAAATTACAACTAGCTTAAGTGTGATGAATGTCACAAAACGTGCAAACTAATAAAAACATTGTAAACTGTTACAAAATGAACAAATGTAGTTTAGGCATAGGTTTGTGCAACGCTGTAAATATATTTACCTTTTTTTAAATATTCCATTAAACCTTGCTGAGATACAAGGAGCGTGAACTGAAATTCTCAGTTCCATTTGGTTCCACGCGCATGTCCGGCAAACTCATGAATATTCATGTGGGCTCCACCCACTGAAACCGAAAATCTCGTAACACCGGAGCACGCTTACGTCATGTATGAGATAACGGAGAAAACCACTTTCGCTAATATTCTGCCGAATAATTAATAATAATTAATTTATAATTTATGCCGTGCATTGATTTTCACTTGTATGTATCAGAAAATTATTATGGAGGCCGCTGACGTTAATTAAATAATTTGCAGCTTTACCCGCAAACTACATTTCCTGTTCATCAATAAGATAAGAACCAGAGCCATTATAAACCTAAATATACTTGATTAAATAAAATTAATTGAAAAGTGTAGTGTAGTAGTAGTAATAGAATATGTTTGCGGTCGTAATGATGACAGTAGCGCACACAAAATAGTATCTGTTCCGTGCTCCGGCGCGGTTAGCGCTCACACTGCATGCGTACCGAGCCCAACCGAACCGTGCCCTGGCCCACCTCTTCCAACCAGGCTGGGGCCGGCTAAACGAACCGCGCCCGAGTGCGGCACGGAGCGCTCACACTAGTCAAACGCGCTCGGGCACGGTTCAAAACATCTAGTGTGAGTAAAAAATTTTAAACTATATGGCTATGCAATAATTATTAATACCTCTAATGCACCAAATGATTTTTGGCAAAAAAAAAAAAGTTAAATAGCCTATATGCATGAGGGAATAAAGCTATTTCAAATGTGACACAAAAGCAATATTTAAAAAATGTAATTGCAAAATATTTATTTGCAACAATATAAACAGAAAGAAATTCCTGACCTAAGAACAGCTAATGGGGTAACTGACGCTGCACTATACTCATGATAACATTCTAGCAGGTGAAGATAACGATGTGGTCAATGTTACAGACTGGCAACATAATGAGACACGATTGCCGCCTTCTCTCAAGAGTTCTGACTTCAAAGGCTCTGGCGTTTGGAGTGAGTAGGGCATACTAATGCTCACTTCCGATTGGAATTGACCCAAAATGTGTACGGTAAGGGGTACTCCAGGACCATGGCTGGGATACATATGCTTAGTGTACTTTTAAAAAGTGATAAATTGTTATTTAAAATATTTATATATTAATGTTCTGCAATACTCCTGCAACCCTGGAATATTCCGACCGACTAATAACGTGGTTAGCCCCTGCTTGTAGAATTGCATAATGATATAGATGCTGTGATATTGCATTGGTAGTACTTCACAAAAGTTTGAGAGGAGGTCCAACTACTTACTTACTCCTTTTCATCCCTAGTGGGACATAAGGCATCAACGATTTGTTTCCACTTGGCTCGATCGTTTGTAGCGAATTGTGCCTCACCCCATGTTAGACCCATCACCTTCAGTTCTGCCATCACTGTACATCTCCATGTTGATTTTTTCCCAACAAGTTGTTGTACAAATTTCCTAAACTGAAACCCCCCTAAACAGCACCCACGACGATACTATGGCCCTAGTAGAATGGGCATTAATTGGGTGCAGGGCTTCCTTCCCTGCACAATGGTGTGCCAGAGCAATAGATCTGACGATCCAGTGTGACAATCTCTACTAAGACAGTATCAAACCTCTTGCTGGCTCCACAAAACACAAGAATAATTGCTGACTCCATCAGAAATTTCAGGTTCTGTCCAAGTAAATGCGCAAACATGTACAGGGCAGAGGGCACGTAGCCTCTGACATTCTGCCGATGAGAACAGTGAGGGACAAAAAGCGAAAAGAAATAATGTCACAGGTTTGGAAGGACATGAGGATGAATAAATAATTACATAAATTTCCTTTTTCTGTAAGTGTGCCTTTTGGAATCGGGCCAGAGCCCATGCCACAAACGACACCTAAAGTTGTTTGGCGCTATTTTGACAACATAACGTTCCATTAACTTAATATTTAACTTAATATTTTAATATTTTGACTTAGTATACTAGACTTTATTTACAGTCTATATATTTTCAAATAGTTTGTGTTCTTCATAATGATACATTGATCTTTTGTGTTTACTGCTTATTTCAAACTAATTCTCGTTTATGTTAGGTAACGTGAATAACCCGCGTGTATATTAATGTTCAAAAAACCATGCAGCGTCAGCTATCTTTGTCTATGACAGAATACTCAGGTGTTTTTGTTTTGCAGGAATGATGGCCAGCAGATCAAACTATAAGGAGCCCAGAGCCAACCACTACAGAACAGAGACACGACAATTAATACAAAGTGTGTGTGTACACGTTTTTTTTTCAGTGGTGTATTGTAACGAAGTAATAATACTTCGTTACAGTACAAGTATTTTTTGGGAGTATCTGTACTTTACTTGAGTTTTTATATTTCAACCAACTTTTACTTTTACTCCACTACATTTCCTAATTAAAATGTATACTTTTACTCTGATACATTTCCCCGAAGCGTATTCGTTACTTACTACAAAATAGTCAGAAGTCAGAAGAACACAGACTGCAGGAAAGCAGGTGGCGGTGAGTTGAAAAATCAGGCCTAAAATCTTGTAGTGTGTGTGGATGGCGTTAAATATCTAGATCTGTCTGCATTCCAAGTCCTGTGGTGTGAAATCTGTTTTGACTAAATCTTACATCAACAAATGACAGACATTTGTGTAGTGTGAGAACAACAACAATCTGATGACTTTGAAAGTCATGTTGTGAAGCATATTCGTTACTTACTACAAAATAGTCAGAAGTCAGAAGAACACAGACTGCAGGAAAGCAGGTTTGACGAATCAGTGGTCTGGCGTTTGCAAGTTAGACTCCTAAAAACACCTTTGCTCACGTGCAAACAAGTGCGCGCACAACCGCGGATGATTTCATTTTCCACTCAAGTCGAGGCTAGGGTGTACTGTGCGATACAGCATCGTCTGCGATGTAGGGCCTTTCGCACCGCTTTAGTTCCAGAACTAAATGTACAGTACTAAAGTACTGGGACGATTTTGCGCGAACTATTTCCCAGTACCATTTAAAGGGTTGCATTCGCACCGAGAGTGTGCACAATTAGTTCTGGTACTATGAAAAGGTTCCCGCGGTGCGAAAAGTGTTGTTGTAATGATGTGCGATTTGACATTATCAGGTAGGCTAGGCTATATCACCAAATCACACTCATGCTTTTCATATTTATATTATTTAATATAGTTAACTTAATCTATATCACACGAAGAGTACCGTTTTTCTGCAGATTTCAGCATGAACACATTTAATAATGATTTTATACAAGTTCAGTAAAGCAATAAGTGACTTACATTTATGTAACATCACTTATTGTGTTATTATGTAACACTTATTGTGTTATTATGTAACATCACTACATTACTATAGTTAATAGGGATGCACCGATACCGATACTGGCCTCCTGTACTCGTACTCGTTAAAATGCCCCGATACCAAACGCCGATACCACACAGCATGAGATAAGCGCCATATTCAAACAAAGAAACACTGACAACAGACAGCAGAAAGGAGTTATGGATGTCTACTACGAAGTATATGTATGCAATGAATATAATGTTAAACATTCAGTATTAACGCCTGTATAGCTGATGTGTGCGAGCTGATAAACAAAGCACGCTGAGTGGATTGAGCGCGCGGCGGCGCAGATGCGCGAGCTTGTCGAATGAATATATCTTTCTCACAGACATCACTGGAAAGTTTATAGTTCGGTCGGATATGTCAAAGACAAGTAAGTAAAACTATTCAATGTTTTATGTTAAAAACAAAACATTAAGCCTATTTCTGCATCTGTAACTGCAGGTTAAATGCATCCATGTCCCCTCTGAGATGCATAAACTGTGTAAATACATCTAAATGCTATGTCAGATGCAGATTCCAGAAATGTTTTCTTATGTTGGAATGAAAGACACTAAGTACCGGATGAAGTGTTTCTTATTCTTACCCAAAAATACAAAATGGAAGAAAGAGTTAAAACTGAACACAATCTTGCTACTCAAGCTGTGTATGAACATTTATATATGTATGTATTTGCTTCTTTTCCATTTTGCATTTACATGTACTTTTACTTTCAATACTTAAGTACATTTAAGATTAAAAAAAAAAAAATTTTCGTACTTAAGGAAAATAAATATCAAACTTTAAGACTTTTACTCAAGTAATATTCTAAACGGTGACTTCAACTTCTACCAAAGTCATTTTCTGGTAAGATACCTGTACTTTTACTTGAGTATGGCTTTCAGGTACTTTATACACCACTGTTTTTTTTCTATCCTGGTGGGGACTTAAAAACCTGAATACATACCTACTCATGGGGACTCCTGTCACCGTGGGGACCTAAATTGAGGTCCCCATGGGAAAACAAGCTTATAAATCATACAGAATTAGGCTTTTTTAAAATTTTTACATTTTGAGAATGTAAAAATACAGAAAGTTTTCTGTGAGGGGTAGGTTTAGGTGTAGGGCAATAGAATAGGTCTGATAGGATAGATAGGTTAAATAGATTTGTACAGTATAAAAACTATTAGGCGCAGTGCAGAAAGATGCTGTGCTGGAGATAATTATATACGAGAACAGTTCAAGCCTAGAGCAACACGTAAGTGCAAACACTGTGAAAATAAAGTGGGGAAATGTTATTTTTAATTAAGATTCAAATACCATAGCATGAAATTACACCTTTGTCTTAAGTTTAGGATATCTTATTTTAATCAAAAGCAGTAATAAATAGATACTGGGAAGAACAACGCAAAAGCTCTTTTTTGATCAAACCTCACTTTTTTTTTTACGACAATACAAAGTGGGGAGCATAATATTTTCCTCTTGGGGCCTGTATATGAGGAATATTTTCATCATGGGGGCCTGTACTTGAATGTAATTTAGAAATTTTGTTTTTTGATAATATATCCACTTAAATCAAACTAAATTGACACATTTAAGTAGTTAAATCTTAAAATATCCTTTAACATAAAAAACTTTGTAGTGTGAAGGATCTTTTTCTTTTTGCCTTATATGTGAGAGGTTCAATGATTCATTATTTGTCGTTTTTCATACTATTTCTTTTCCTGTCTGTGGTTAGGAATCAAGATTCAAGATAGATATGTATAGGTAGATATAGCCACAGCAGCTGTTTCAGTGGGGCACTATACGTAAGCCGTCCACAATATTGGAATGGTCAAAGCCAGTCCGTGAACACTCAAGAGCAAGTTGCCTGTATGTCTGCAACCCTATACGCATATATGAATATTTATATCTGCATTAGACTTAAGCAGATGATTTTGCTAAACACAATACAAAAAGAAGACACCGTAAGCTAAAACATTTAAAAGGTACTACAGTTAAAAACCTGTAATATCAGAATCAGAATGTATGTTTACACATACGAGGAATTTGTTTTCGTGACAGAAGCTTCCACAGTGTAACAGAATGACAGTGACAGAACAAAAAACACAGATAATAAAAAAAAATAAAAAATAGAACAAGTAAATAAGAAATAAAAATATATACATTGACAAGTGTATGTGCAGGTATATTACAATAGACAGTGTTGTATGTACAGGTATATTATGTGCAAATTTGAGGTGTAGACTGAGTATGTGTGTTAGATAAATAAGTGAGTGTATAAATAAATAGTGTGTGTTCCACAGTTATTGTTAAGTGTTCATGAGATGGATTGCCTGAGGGAAGAAACTGGTCCTGTGTCTGGCCGTTCTGGTGCTCAGAGCTCTGTAGCGTCGACCAGATGGCAACAGTTCAAAGAGGGAGTGTGCTGGATGTGAGGGGTCCAGAGTGATTTTGCCAGCCCATTTGCTCACTCTGGATAAGTACAGTTCTTGGAGAGAAGGGAGGGTTGTACCAATGATTCGCTCAGCAGTCCGGACTACCCTCTGTAGTCTTCTGAGGTCAGATTTGGTAGCTGAACTGAACCAGACAGTTATAGAAGTGCAGAGGATGGATTCAATGATGGCGGAGTAAAACTGTTTCAGCAGCTCCTGTGACAGGTTGAACTTCCTCAGCTGGCGAAGGAAGTACAACCTCTGCTGGGCCTTTTTAAGTCTATGTGAGTGTCCCACTTCAGGTCCTGAGAGATTGTGGTGCCCAGGAACCTGAATGACTCCACTGCAGTCACAGTGCTGTCCATGATGGTGAGTGGGGGGAGTGCAAGGGGGTTTCTCCTGAAGTCCACGGTCATCTCCACAGTTTTGAGCGTGTTGAGCTCCAAGTTATTGAGACTGCACCAGACAGCCAGCTCTTTAACCTCCTGTCTGTAAGCAGACTCGTCACCGTCCTGAATGAGGCCGATGAGTGTGGTGTCGTCTGCAAACTTCAGGAGCTTGACAGAGGGGTCTTTAGACGTGCAGTCGTTGGTGTAGAGGGAGAAGAGCAGTGGGGAGAGAACACAACCCTGAGGAGCTCCAGTGCTGGTTATACGGGTGCTGGATGTGTATTTTCCCAGCCTCACTAGCTGCTGCCTGTCTGTCAGGAAGCTGTTGATCCACTGACAGACGGAGGTGGGCACGGAGAGCTGAGATAGTTTGGGCAGGAGGAGGTTTGGGATGATAGTGTTAAAGGCCGAGCTGAAGTCCACGAACAGGATCCTCACATAAGTCCCTGGTCTGTCTAGATGTTGCAGAACATAATGCAGTCCCATGTTAACTGCATCGTCCACAGACCTGTTTGCTCTGTAGGCAAACTGAAGAGGATCCAGCAAGGGTCCAGTGATGTCCTTCAGGTGGGCCAGCACCAGTTTTTCAAAAGACTTCATGACCACAGACGTTAGAGCCACAGGTCTGTAGTCATTAAGTCCCGTAATTTTGGGTTTCTTTGGGACGGGGATGATGGTGGAGCGTTTGAAGCATGAAGGGACTTCGCACAGCTCCAGTGATCTGTTGAAGATCTGTGTGAAGATGGGGGCCAGCTGGTCAGCACAGGATTTCAGACAGACTGGTGTAACACAGTCTGGGCCTGGTGCTTTTTTCCTTTTCTGCTTCCGGAAGACCTGGCGCACCTCGTCTTCACTGATCTGAATTGCAGGTGTGGGGGAGAGGGGGGTTGCTGGAGGTGTGAATGGTTGTGTGGAGAGGTGTTCAGGGCGGGTGTGGGGTGTTTTTTCAAACCTGCAGTAGAACTCGTTCAGATCGTCTGCCAGGTGTTGATTCTCCACAGTGCTGGGGGATGGTGTCTTGTAATTGGTGATTTCTTTTAGACTTTTCCACACTGATGCCGAGTCGCTGGAAGTGAACTGAGTCCTTATTTTTTCCGAATAATTCCTCTTTGCCACTCTGATCTCCTTTTCCAGTGTGTATTTAGCCTGTTTATACAAGACATTATCCCCCTTCCTGTGAGCATCTTCTTTGGCCTGACGGAGCTGTCTGAGTTTTGCAGTGAACCATGGTTTGTCATTGTTGTAAGTTAAATGAGTCCTGGTAGGAATGCACATGTCTTCACAGAAACTGATATAAGATGTTACAGTCTCTGTGAGCTCGTCCAGATCGGTGGCAGCAGCTTCAAAAACACTCCAATCAGTGAGGTCAAAACAAGCTTGTAAATCCTGCTCTGCTTCATTAGTCCATCTTTTTACAGTCCTTAATACAGGTTTAGCTGATTTCAGTTTCTGCCTGTAGGTCGGTATAAGATGAACCAAACAGTGATCAGAGAGCCCCAAAGCTGCCCGTGGAACAGAGTGATATGCATTCTTTATTGTGGTGTAACAGTGATCCAATATATTACTGTCTCTGGTGGGACATGTGATGTGCTGTCTGTATTTTGGCAGTTCACGGGAGAGATTTGCTTTATTAAAGTCCCCGAGAATGATTAAAACAGAGTCCGGGTGTTGTTGTTCTGTCTCTGTGATCTGATCAGCGAGTTTCTGTAAAGCGGAGCTCACGTGTGCTTGCGGAGGAATGTACACACTTACGAGAATGAACGAGCAAAACTCCCGCGGCGAATAGAACGGCTTGCAATTAATGAAGAGCACTTCTAGATCTGAACAGCACATCTTCTTTAACACAGTTACATCTGTACACCACCTCTCATTGATGTAAAAGCATGTCCCGCCGCCGCGCGATTTCCCCGTTGATTCTGCGTCGCGATCTGCTCTAAACAGCTGAAAGCCCGGCAGACTCAACGCGCTGTCCGGAATGGCGTCTTTCAGCCAGGTTTCCGTGAAACACAGAGCAGCAGAGTTTGAAAAATCCTTATTTGTCCGGGAGAGCAGAAGAAGTTCGTCCGTTTTGTTGGGTAGAGAGCGGAGATTTGCCAGATGGATGCTTGGCAACGGCGTTCTGAATCCGCGCTGTCTGAGCTTCACGAGCGCGCCGGCTCGCTTCCCCCGTCTGCGCGTCCTGAAGCGCTTGATCAGCGCCGCAGCTCCCCCGACAACAATGTCCAGCAAAACATCAGAATAATCAAAACCGGTGAAATATCGGGTGGTGTGTACTTCCGAATGTCCAGCAATTCGTCTCTGGTGAAACTGATTGCAGGGATATAACTAAAGACAGGACAAACTAACAAAAACATAAAAACAACTGCGGAGCACGCCACGGAGGCAGCCATCACCGTCAGCGCCATCTTGCGATCTCCTTAATGAAGGTATCAGAACTGACTAGGTGATCTCTTATGTTGCGTCCCCTATAATATGAAAAAAGGGGAGGCTCCTTGAAGATTCTATATCCAATGTCATCAGCTCTCAGAACATGCCAGTGTTTATTGATGATAGACTTTATTGTCTGACTATGAACAGTGAAGGTTGTACAACACATATAAGGAGGTCTTTGAGATGTCTTGGATTGTGATTTAACTGGTGTAGATTTTACCTTCTTGTTACCTTCTTGATTTAAACTCAGAATTGCGAGATATAAACTCAGAATTGTGAGAGATAAACTCAGAATTGCGAGATATAAACTCAGGATTGCGAGAAAACAGGTTTCATGTTCTCCAAGTAAACTGATCTGCATCATTTATATCTTCCATTAGAGGGCGACAGTAAAACGTACATGTAAGTTCACTGAGGCCCTTTGCAGTCCTTCTCAAATCTGTCCTGAAGACCGCCCACCTCTGATCATTTTGGATGTCTGCCTCATCTAACACAGGGGTTCTCAAAATTTTCAGGCCAGGGACCCCTTATAGGCTATAGGTCCACCTAATAATAATAACTGTGATTAAATCCAGAGTTACAGGGTGGGAGTAACGATGTACAAATGGTCCCCATCTGTAAATATGCACTTTTTAATAATACAGCACAATTATTATAATTTACCTTATTTTCCAGAGTTTAAGTCGCACCTAAGTATGTCGCACCCGGTCAAACTTAAGTTGAGAGAGAAAGAAAAAAATAAAAAATAAAATAAAAAACAGATAAATCACATATCAATTTTATTTTATTATTACATTCAAAAATCATGTAAAATACCAGTAGATTAAATGTTTACAAACATTATAAATATGTATTTTAGATCCCCTTACTCCAAAACAAATCCTTTAAATGTTGTACTGTTGTATCCAGAACAAAACAAGAATGAAAAATATAAGTAGACTTAAAATAAAATGAAATAAATTACAGCGGCATTCATTACAAACAACATACTGTTTGATTCATTTTTTAAAATGTTTTATTGTCTAATGTTTAATATACAAATTTATATACTGCATAAATATGAAATGAGGCATTTAGTGCCATATAAGGAGAAAAGGAAAGAATAGAAACTTATAGAGTAGAAGCTGAAACCTCATTGGCCCTTTGCGGAATGGTTTGCTTTTTAGTTATGGTAGTCCAATTCTCTTCCATGAACTGGTTCTCTCTGACAGTTTGTTTCAATGAACCAGTGTGTGTGTGTGTGTGTCATCACACTCAGCGTCGTCCCCAGAGCTGTGATTTCCACCGTCAGCTCTGAAAGCACGCAGGAGCCATTAGTGTTAGCCTAGATACGTCAAAACACTTACTGAACCTGAGGCTGGAATTAACCCTTGATTCCTGACACATTCACTGCCATCCCATGTGTATGAACACACACACACACACACTCCCACATCAGAATCAGAATCAGAATCAGAATGAGCTTTATTGCCAGGTATGTTTACACATACGAGGAATTTGTTTTCGTGACAGAAGCTTCCACAGTGTAACAGAATGACAGTGACAGAACAAAAAACACAGATAATAAAAAAAAATAAAAATAAAAAAATAGAACAAGTAAATAAGGAATAAAAATATATAAATTGACAGTTGTATGTGCAGGTATATTACAATAGACAGTTTTTGTATGTACAGGTACTGTATATTATGTGCAAATTTGAGGTGTAGTCTGAGTATGTGTGTTAGATAAATAAGTGTATGAGTGAATAAATAGTGTGTGTTCCACAGTTATTGTTAAGTGTTCATGAGATGGATTGCCTGAGGGAAGAAACTGTTCCTGTGTCTGGTCGTTCTGGTGCTCAGTGCTCTGTAGCGTCGACCAGATGGCAACAGTTCAAAGAGGGAGTGTGCTGGATGTGAGGGGTCCAGAGTGATTTTGCCAGCCCTTTTGCTCACTCTGGATGAGTACAGTTCTTGGAGAGAAGGGAGGGTTGTACCAATGATTCGCTCAGCAGTCCGGACTACCCTCTGTAGTCTTCTGAGGTCAGATTTGGTAGCTGAGCTGAACCAGACAGTTATTGAAGTGCAGAGGATGGATTCTATGATGGTGGAGTAGAACTGTTTCAGCAGCTCCTGTGGCAGGTTGAACTTCCTCAGCTGGCGAAGGAAGTACAACCTCTGCTGGGCCTTTTTCACAATGGAGTCAATGTGAGTGTCCCACTTCAGGTCCTGAGAGATTGTGGTGCCCAGGAACCTGAATGACTCCACTGCAGTCACAGTGCTGTCCATGATGGTGAGTGGGGGGAGTGCAGGGAGGTTTCTCCTGAAGTTCACGGTCATCTCCACAGTTTTGAGCGTGTTGAGCTCCAAGTTGTTGAGACTGCACCAGACAGCCAGCTGCTCGACCTCCTGTCTGTAAGCAGACTCGTCACCGTCCTGAATGAGGCCGATGAGTGTGGTGTCGTCTGCAAACTTCAGGAGCTTGACAGAGGGGTCTTTAGACGTGCAGTCGTTGGTGTAGAGGGAGAAGAGCAGTGGGGAGAGAACACAACCCTGAGGAGCTCCAGTGCTGGTTATACGGGTGCTGGATGTGTATTTTCCCAGCCTCACTAGCTGCTGCCTGTCTGTCAGGAAGCTGTTGATCCACTGACAGACGGAGGTGGGCACGGAGAGCTGAGTTAGTTTGGGCAGGAGGAGGTTTGGGATGATGGTGTTAAAGGCCGAGCTGAAGTCCACGAACAGGATCCTCACATAAGTCCCTGGTCTGTCTAGATGTTGCAGAACATAGTGCAGTCCCATGTTTACTGCATCGTCCACAGACCTGTTTGCTCTGTAGGCAACCTGAAGAGGATCCAGCAAGGGTCCAGTGATGTCCTTCAGGTGGGCTAGCACCAGTTTTTCAAAAGACTTCATGACCACAGACGTTAGAGCCACAGGTCTGTAGTCATTAAGTCCTGTAATTTTGGATTTCTTTGGGATGGGGATGATGGTGGAGCGTTTGAAGCATGAAGGGACTTCGCACAGCTTCAGTGATCTGTTGAAGATCTGGTGAAGATGGGGGCCAGCTGGTCAGCACAGGATTTCAGACAGACTGGTGTAACACAATCTGGGCCTGGTGCTTTTCTCTTTTTCTGCTTCCGGAAGACCTGGCACACCTTGTCTTCACTGATCTGAATTGCAGGTGTGGGGGAGAGGGGGGTTGCTGGAGGTGTGAATGGTTGTGTGGAGAGGTGTTCAGGGCGGGTGTGGGGTGTTTTTTCAAACCTGCAGTAGAACTCGTTCAGATCGTCTGCCAGTTGTTGATTCTCCACAGTGCTGGGGGATGCTGTCTTGTAGTTGGTGATTTCTTTTAGACTTTTCCACACTGATGCCGAGTCGCTGGAAGTGAACTGAGTCCTTATTTTTTCCGAATAATTCCTCTTTGCCACTCTGATCTCCTGATTTACTTAAAAGATTAAGTAAATGGCAGAATATTCATTTTTGTGTGATAATTTTTGTTAATTCTATACACTAGACCACATGCCAGACAGATTTAAGTTGTTATTGTCTGATTTCATGACTATGATAAACTAGTGGCCAAATGATTTTGTACACATTCAGATTTGTAATTGTGTTTTTGCTATTCCTTAAATCTCAATAAATACACATTGCTGCAGAGTCTTGGAGGTCTAATTTTGCTTGAAATTCTTCTTGACCTCAGAACATTCTCCTCTGACCTGTGCTGACAGTAACAGATGAGTGTTTGATGAAGAGGCCCACCTTATCAAAGCCTAACAGCATGCCTTTGTAGGAAACATCCCGAAACATTAAAACCATGTTGACATTAGGCTTGCTGAGGGAAGAGAGATGAATTAACATGACAGGGGTAACCTGCAATGTGTTAAAGGGGTCATATGATGTTGCTAAAAAGAACATTATTTTGTGTATTTAGTGTAATGAAATGTGTTTATGCGGTTTAAGGTTCAAAAAACACATTATTTTCCACATACTGTACATTATTGTTTCTCCTCTATGCCCCGCCTTTCTGAAACGCGTCGATTTTTACAAAGCTCATCGGTCTGAAAACAACGGCGTTCTGAATCCGCGCTGCCTTAGCTTCACGAGCGCGCCGGCTCGCTTCCCCTGTCTGCGCGTCCTGAAGCGCTTGATCAGCGCCACAGCTCCCCTGACTACAATGTCCAGCAAAACATCAGAATAATCGAAAACCGGTGAAATATCAGGTGGTGTGTACTGCCGAATGTCCAGCAATTCGTCTCTGGTGAAACTGATTGCAGGGATATAACTAAAGACAGGACAAACTAACAAAAACATAAAAACAACTGCGGAGTACGCCACGGAGGCAGCCATCACCGTCGGCGCCATCTCACTACTATTGAGTTAATGCATATTAAAAATACAAACCAACACATTCTTACCTGTGAAAGTTTATCCAATTCTTCAGGAATTTAAATTTCTGCAGTTTTTACAACCAAAAGGTTGCGCAATGTTGTGGCATCTTGATTTTTATTGTGAGTGACGACACATTCACCATTCCAAGATGGCGGACGTGTCTGGAGTGGTCGAATGTGGCATCTACCTATACATATCTATGTGCCACAGCATCTCAGTGGGAGATCATTCATGTAGGAACCTAGTAATGAAACAAAATACTTACCAAAGATGTATGTAGTAATGACTTTTAACCATTTAAGGAAATTCATATGAATACTACCCATATTCACCCCTATATAAGAACTATATAGAAAATAACGGTCTTTGTTTTGTAATACAGTATATTATATATATATCTCTAACGTGTTTTATGCACGTGTTTACAAGCTAACAGGAAAGACTTTTCTATCCACCTCTAATGATTCTTCACTCTTTTATAGGGAATCTAGAGAAAGAAAAGAGACAACTACAAAATCTTCTTTCTACTGATCAAAAGGATGTTGGGCCAACTCACTCCCAAAGAGACTCCACAGAGAGAAGAGAGCAACAGATAGACCGATTCCAAGATGGTGAGACAGGCAGTACATAAATGTTGTTGTTCCTTTGAATCCATTTCATCTGAGGGACCTGAATGTATATTTTGATAACCGTGATTGAATATTGAAATAGTTTTGCAATATTCTAATTTTGTATTTCCTTTCCTTTTTTTCCTCGCTGGCCACAGATTGATATTCTTTCAGTTTATTATAATTTAGAGGGGTACAGGGAGAGTCATGTTTACAGAGACACTAAGGAGCTCTCAGCTCAGTATCAGTATCTCATGGTAACATGGAAACTATAATTATGTAATTTCTTACCAACAGTTCTGGATGAGATTGAGGAGAGGAAGCAGTTTTTAGAGGACATGATAGCACTGGGAAAAGGTCACCAATACCAATACCTCATCAACACAAGAGATTTCCCAGGTGAAGATACAAACCCATAAGCTGACACATAGCGGCCAATACTATCATGCCACATCACCAACCAACCATAATCAGTTTTTACATGAACCCGCAGTTTCAGTTCAAAATTCTGAGAAATCAGGATGCAGGGATCACACTACATGATTTTCAAAGTTGTCAGATTGCTGATCTTTTCACACAACATGACTGTCTGGGGTACCATCACGACGTATTGGCGACAGGAGGTCACACATTACACAACTTTTCAGTAGGAAGAATCGCCAACAACTGTCTGGTCTTACAAACAACATTTCACAACAAAACAGGCAAAAATTGATACAGTAAACAATGTGAGAATGCGTGAGACAGGAGTTCTCACACAAGACTGCATTTCTTCCTATTAAAAATATTGTAGCCTGCAAGAAGCTTGTGATACAAGTTGTTTGTACACTGATTTGCAGCAAAAAAGAAGTGAAGAATATGAAGGAGAGAATGGTTAATTGCAGAAGCCATGCTTGCTGAACTTTTATCTTGCTCTCTCATTGGCTGTAGGTCATTGCCAATGTAATTTTCAGTCAAAACATTTCACACTGCAGACAGGTCCAGATATTTAGCATGCTAAATAACTAACAGGCATCGGTGACGAATCAGCACTTCTCTTAGATAGTGTCTTTCATAATACACACTACACGATTGTCACTCAAGTGAATGAGCACTGATCTGCCTCAGATTTTGAGCATTTGTCTGCGATTTCCACAAAGCTGTCGGCGAATAAAAATTGGAGCTAAAATCATGCAGTGTGTACCCGGCTTTAGTCTTAAATCAAAGCTACTTTGTTCTAAACGATCTGGTGGATGCAGTGAGACCTGCTGTTAACTGTCTGATATTTTCTAACAGAAAATCTGAACTTGAAGACATCGACAGGAAACGCAGTGAAGAACTAGCACACAAAAAAGGGACAAAGCAAAGTGAGGGATAGAGAAAGAGAGGGTGAAAATATAAGTGTTAGACATGTTTGAGAACTAAAATATACTTTCAAAAAAAGTCAAAACTTCTGAAGGTTTTCTTTTATTAAGTGGTTTTATATTTGATATCTTCCATCCTAAAAGCACAGACCATTTCAGAGAAAACAAAGTCCTTGGAGTTGATCAGGCACAGATACACTCTGACGAAACAAGCACAATACTGAAATCTGATCAATACAAATAAACACCCAAATACTTGGACACACAAACTGAAATGTCAACAAAATATTCAAAGACACTTGACAGCCAATGCAAGGACATATGCATAAATTAAACAGATTAAAGGCACTCACTCAGAAATACACTCCTGCTTGGGTTTACAGATATTAAGGCCCAACACACAACATTTGACATTCTACAGTGAAAATAAACCATTTTTAAATTAAAACTTAACATTGCATAATCTTCCTGCCAGAGTATCTAAAGTGTGAGGAACATTTATTATTGCTTAACATTAAAAACCTTACAGTTAATATTTTGTGAGTGAGTGTGTGTGTCTGTTGTTACAGTTAAGCCCAAAGTATACTTAACTTTTTACGCGTACGCGAGGGACAGCATACAGTGCGCGTGATGCGAATTTCGTCATCAGAATAGTACACGCACCACCCTATTTTTGTAACCTCGCGTACTTTGTACGCGCAGGTCGCACATGCGCATTGAATTATTTTTTGCAGTAATCAGAGGTGGCAACACTGTCCAGCCCCTTGTCCAAATACCCACACTTGCGGTCTTGGCCACTTGAGAGCGCGTGCGCGCGACAGGAAGTAAGTGCGCAAGACTGTCCCAGGTTTTAAAAACGGCAAAGCGCAGTGCCCTTAACACACACTAAACCCACCAATTAAAATTTGCTTATTTTACTCAAATATTCACTAAGAAAATGTAATATAATTAAGTATTGGTCAGCATTTATCAATGTTATAGTGCAATCATTCTAGGCTAATGTTAATTTTTAAGAATTCATACTTACACTTTTAGAGTATAAAAATCAATCTTCTCCAAAGGCGAGATCTTCGAGCAGCTGCCCGACGTCTCCTTTGTGCAGACTGTTCAGATATTGCAAACATTTTTGCTGATGTTGCAGAAAACCGTACAAGGTATGGTTGTCGAACTACTGATGGAATCAGGTGTTAGTGCACCTGTCAGTCATATCTTTTAAATTGTTGGCCCTTGTGATAACGTCAACATGACGGATGAGATCCGGATCGCATTCATACCCCTTGTCTAAATACCCACACTTGCGGTCTTGGCCACTTGAGAGCGCGTGCGCGCGACAGGAAGTAAGTGCGCAAGACTGTCCCAGGTCTTAAAAATACCAAAGCACAGTGCCCTTAACGCACACTAAATCCACACTATCTCGAATACCGCTCCGGAGCGCTATTCGAGGCTTAGTGTATCCCATCATGCATCATGTTCTGGAAATAAATCGTGAGACTTTTTGCCGAGATCTCGCGAGAGGTCATGGAAACCTTTCCAATGCAAGTTAAATATTAATATAATAATTAGATATTACATATAATTTGGTAGAAAAACTGTGTTTTTACGTTTTATTGGTGCAAAGATGAGTAGTGGTGATATTTATTGTTATTTATTTTGTTAGTATTTATTATACTGCTTTTTATCACTTAATTAGAAGCACCACAAATTAAAATTGTCATGTTATAGGGACTACTGAACAGACATTTAGAAGTTGATTTTAAAATGCAAAGCATTTAAAATTAAAATTAAAATAAAGCTATGTAAACACTTGCATTTTTACAACACTATAAGTGTGTCCCATCAGGTAATGAAAAGTTCGACACACACTTGGTCTTCATCCTCACTTGAACACTTGGGCCAAAATACAGGAAATACATCATATAAGTGTTCAAGTGGTCAAGTGCAAAGACCGCAAGTGTGGGTATTTGGACAAGGCACAGGTGTCCTGACATTTCATCCTACCAGGGCTTACTGCGCATGTGCACATCAATATTCCGTAAATTTTCTCACGCTGAACAAAACATAATTACTGTATTTGCATTACTGTAAAGGTAGGTTTAGTGTCGGGGTAGGTGTAGGCGTTAATAAAGCATAATCTGATGGGTAGTTTTTGTTGTCGCATTGTGTTGCCTACTGTTTTAATGGGAGGTAGCAAAATCTGACAGGGTAGCACAAATCGTTAGAACACCGGGCCGTTGTTTCACAGTAGAAAACGAAACTAAAGAGACGGAACAACAACAGCAAAATAGCGGAGACTGCAAACAACCGACGGCTGCATTGACAAGAGCTTGTGAGCGAGAGGGTATGAGATAGCTTTGGTTTAAAAGAGTTCAAAAATATTTGTTATCGGCCATAACTTATAAGGGAAAAATAGAGCAGACACTAGATATGGATGAAGCTTTCAACAGTGCATGTGTCGACCACCCTCGTTCGCGCACAACATCAAATAGAGTATACTTCGAAAGGCTATGCGTTCGACTGTATGCTTACAAAAACGAAGTATACTTGGGGCTTTAAAGTTTTTTTTTTTTTGTTCTTTTATTAAAAGGGTTTAGACTCATTTTATTGTTATCTCTCATTTTAATGTTCATCTGTCATTGATTCTTCAGGGTGCACAGCTGTCTGGTCACTTTAAACAAGCTCAAAGTTCATTTACAAGTTTGATGGTTTCTTACACTTTTAGGTAGGTTAACCTAAAATTCATACTGAAATCCAAAACAATCAGCTTTTGCTAGTATTAAATTATGCTATGAACTAATACCCTGTCAGTAAAAAACATAATATTTCTCATCATAGGGTTAAACAATATCATTTAACAATATTTTCAAACTTATCATTTTTTTTGTATGAATTAGTCTAAGAAATATTAATTATATTTAAATACATTGCCTGGGCCAAAAAAAAGCTGTTTAGATTTAAATAAGCAAATACTTAAGAGTTGGATTGGATCATTGTAATTGCAGGATTCACAGTTTCTGGCATGTTATATTTGACAATAATTATTTTAACCCTAACCGATGCAGTGTGTAGCTTTTCATTTCTTAAATATGTCAGATGATGTATCCAGTGGCCATATTCCACAATGATTCAGGGAGCATGAGGCATCGTTTTCACACATGAATTGGCCACCACAGAATCTCGACCTTAACCTCACTGTGCTGGAGTAGACTTTACAGACTGGTTTGACTTTCCTATTGTCAATACATGATCTCTGCCAAAAATTAATGCAAAAATGTTGGGATGTTGCAAACAATGCCACGACGAATGCACACTGTAATGAAAACGGTGGTTCAACAAAAGAGTATGTGATTTTTTGGCCAGGCAGTGTATTTATCAATGTTAATCATATTAAAATTAATGTGTATATTAAAATGTTGTCCAGGGTAGGGTTGCACCAGCCATTCATAAAATATTGCTTAAACTGGAACATAAAGTCCACACTAGTAAATCGTAAGCTATCTGATGAAGGTAATGCATTGTTGCATAATAAGAAAATGATCTTAAATTATTCAACATCAGCTTTCAAATTCATGAACAAAAGTGCGATTTTCAGTTTAACCTCTTAAGGTCAATTCTAACTTCTTTTGCCTCATGTAACCAGTGCTAAATTCATGTTTCTAACACTACTCTGTAAATAACATTATAAGTAACGTAAATAAAATGAGCAATAAATAAATACTGGTGCAACAAAAACAAATGACATTTAGATTTTTTTTGGCACAGAACGATGCACACAGACGTGTGCTGTTTAGATCTGGTTTCGTGCTGGAGAGCTGCAAGTCAGTTATTCACATTTCATTCTCTTTTTTAAAATGTAAACGAGTGTAAATGTCAACACAAACAAACTTGTCTAAAGCACTGTATTCTGTCAGGTAAAACATGAGCTTATGGATGCAGTTTAAAAATCTGCTATGTTCCAGTCGGTACTCATGGTCGGAGGCTTTTTAGTATATATTTATATGTAGTTATGTTTGAACTAAGTTTAATGGTGCAACTCTCAAATATTTAATACTGCGTAATTTGTAACTTAATATCCATTTAAAACTTTTTTTTAAAAAATTAAACAGCTGGTGCAACCAAACCCATGCAGACAAAAATCAACAAATCCCTGTTACTCATAAATCACAAAAGCATTCATGAGATGGAAATGCTTCACTCTCCCTCAACAATATTTTAAACTGCAAGTCTGGTAATTCATTTCTCCATTCATCTCAACAACGCTTCTTTAATTAATCAGATGAAAGGCCTGGATGGGGCAAGAAGACTTTCACTGCAAGTTCTTTTTCTCTTCAATATGGACAGAAACACAAGAAGCAGTATTCATAAATAAATATAAACTCAGAGAACAAGATTAAATTATGTTTTGCAAAAATTAATGTCATACCATCTAATGGGCTTCCTATGACCGTAACGATGAGTTTAAAAGAAAGGTATGTGTTAAACTTTGTCAGGGTAATTTAGGACTCTCAATGTAATGTCAATCACATTCAGTATCAGTTTTCTTTTACTTCAAAATGTCGAGATTAAAGTAAGATTATATATTGGTTGAGCCTTTCAAGATTTTTTTAAGTCAAAAATTTTGTTGCATCTAACTAAGACAGTGTTAATTTTAGTTTTTTAAATTTTATAAACTGCAGTAGTGCAGTAGTATATCAGTTCAGCTGCTACTACCTCAAAGGCAAATTTAACATAACTGGCTCGGTTTTATAGCAATATATTCAAAAGTGTTAATTAGACATGTAGTACATCCTTTTTTGCTTCTCTTTCCTTCACTAAGTTTACCCTTCAACCGTTCTCTTTTCGGGGACTGTTGTCCTTTACTCCTTCATTCTTGGTGCTCAGTCTCTTCAAAACCTTCATGGGCTTAAACTTCCCTGCTTTCTTCTTCTGCTCAGCCGGTCCATGGAACTCTGAAAAGAAATACAAGAATCAAAGCAAGATGTATCATTATGAATGAGGAATGAGAGAGTCAGTGAAAAGAGAAATAACACTGACCTTTTTTCTTTAGCATAGCAGCTACTAGTTTGTCTTCCTCCTCCTCCCTAAAGCAGAAATTGATGAACTCCTCAAAAACAGCATGCAAACTTGATACTGATGACAAAATTACTTTCCATTTCATATCAAATTTACAGAAAAACAGCTTAGCAGAGACACTCAAGCTCAGGATCAGAATGAAGCAGAGTGCATTTGCACTGACTGATTACCTCTGTCTGTCCAGATCTATGCTGTTAACAATCTGGTTCCTCTGCTCAATTATAGTGACAAGTTCTGCCATCAATTGCTTTTCCCTGTCTTTGTCTTCAGCTGCCCATTCTTTCTCTATCAGAGATGTAAGCGATTGGGAAAGAGAGATAAAGGAGAGATTGAATAAAGAATGGCTGTTATTTGAAAGAAAGGAGGAGGATTTACTCACAAGGCTTTTGTGTTGTTTCATACCTGGCTTGTTAAGTAAACATCTAAGCTCATATTCCACATCGGCCTGCCTCTCCTCCAGGTTCTGCTGCTTGGCTCTAAAATCCAGATACAGATAATACTCAGACAGAGATTTTTCCTGTTTCATATTTAACTTAAACCCAACTGTCCTCCATTGTTCTGTGCAGAGGTCCTGAAAATATCAGGCTGACATACTGTATATTATTATTATTATCATGTTGACAGATCTGTGGACAAGAACTGGCAAGAGCCATGACTGTTAACTTTTAGCACCTTGCTATGGCAGTGGTTCTCAAACTGTGAGCAGCAATCTGGCAGTAGTGTGGCTGCATAAAAACTATACATTTTAAATTAAAATGATACATGTACATAAAATGATAATGTCAAAGTAAAAAATTTGGTGTGCATAATAATTCTAAATATATATAACAAAGTCTGCTAACAGACTACATTTCACTGCTATCCTGCATACTCCCAGTAGGGAATGAGTGAATGAATATGGCGTGAGCAGAACAGCTGTGTTCAGCCTGACTGCATTTCTTCTAATGTAATTTCTGGGGTACTACGCTGAATATTGTTTTTAATAATGGCTCAAAATTATCAAATGGTTTTGGTAAGAGGAAACTGAGAACTATTACAAGCTTGATCGTCATGGAATCACGTTAATGAGGATGAGGATCGAATTTACTTCATAATAGTTTACATAAATCTCCAATCAGCAGAGTGTTGGTTGCTTAAGTTGTGTGCATTCAGAGTTCAAATGTTTTTGATTTGCTTTCATGTCATTTCTAGTCTCCTGTCATTTTTATTTTCTAGAGCGGTCAGAGCTGCTGACTTCAGCGTGATCCACACAGCAAAAATAAACCGTGCGCTGAAACTAACTTTGGCACCAGATGCTGTAATCTATTAATTGAACAGGGACATCAGATATATGGATAGATACACTCTGACAGCACATTTGAGGATTTAAGATGGAAAAGGTTTTGAAAAGAAGACATGCTTTCTCAGATAAAAAAAATTAAATAAATTAAATTAAATTAAATAATAGAGGAGCCTAATGCATAAAATGTTAAAACCATGCAAACTCAATCAATATCTCCTAATTCATCTAGGGCATGCAAATAAAAGTGATTTTTTTTCCAGAAAGAGGTCCATGCATATAAAGACAGTCTCACCCTTCTCTAAATAAATTAAGACTGCCTCTAAATTCTCTCTATAAACTGATGTTCCAACATTTTTTAATGATAGGGATGTTATTCAATTATAAATGTAAGTTTGAGATTATTTTCCATCATACGTTTTCTCTGGAGAGGATGCAAATGGATACCATACCATACACAAGGGAAGCCTCACAGTTTAAGAATCAATGTGCAATAGTATGTCAACATAGTATGTTGTTATTAATGTTACAACATTTTAAATGTATGCAAAAAATGTACTTACGTGTAGACCAGTTCAGCCTCTCTCCGTACCAGTAAATGCTTTTCCTGAATAAGAGTGAACCAGTCAACAAGTAGATGTTCCTCCTCATCATCTGAATTGACAAAACACAGAGACACTCAGTCAAGTTATTAAAAAGCAGCCATGCCCAAGATCACGCACACTGCTCTGTTCGAACCAGAAATGGGCTCAGTTTGGTTTAAATTTTTATAAAGTTTTGACTTGAGTTGTTAGTTTTGGGGCTCAGTCTCAGACTGATCAGCCTCTATAAACCACATAACAACAACAAACAATAAAAAAAAAAACACTGATTAATCACTTTCAGTTCACCCTTTCAAGAAAAAATATGATTTTATCATTTAATATGACTATACAATAATAATAATAATAATACATAAATGTAATCAACATTATTATTAAATATATATTTTATTATTATTTAAATTATTAAAATCAAACAAATCAATAAATACATATTGAAATTATTTGTAAAATGAAATTTTCAGAAAAAAATTACAATATTTATGGCAATCCTAATTTCTTTCAAATGTTAAACTATAGAGCTTTTATTTTGTTGGAAAAACACTGGTAGGCCATAAAGCTTCTCTTTTGTTGACAACAAATTTGAAAACAATTCTTATTACAAATATTGAAGATGGTTGGTGTGCCTTGCGTTTAAATGCACGTTATAAGTGAGCCAAACTCACTGTGTCTGCAGAGATGGAGTTTGCGTGAAACAGCATTAACTGTAAACGGAGCCACTACAGGACACTGAAAACACTGGATCATTAGCTACTCTCAGAAATATCAGATCCTTGACTAATTCATATCTCATTAGCACAGCCGATGTTGGAAGTTCTTCTGTAGCATGCAGTTCTCTTACCATTCGAACATTCTCGTAAGCTCTTCTCTAGATCCACCCCTCTCTGCTCTAATTCATCCAACCGTTTCTCCAGATTACTCATCTCTACATGGATGTCTTCAACTGAGATATACTGGTCTGACTGTACCTACCAAATACGATGACAGGACAGGAAATTATAAGCATGCACTCATTAATATATGGGTGGTAAGAGACAAATGTCTGATGAAAAAGTCGAATGGTTACTACCAAACTACTTTTATTCTGACCTTTTATATAGACTAATACATTTTTCAAAATGCAATAAAAATATTATTACTACTTTTCCATATTCAAAACCATATTCAAATTCATGATAGTTAAAAAAATAAAATAAAAGTAGCAAGAGGCTGTTGTCTGTGCCTCACTTTGCGTTTAATGAGAGGAAATCCATGTCCAGGAGCAGGAGGTCGTGCAGGACGGGGCCCTTTTGGGGGTCTGGATACAGAAGAGCTTACAGTGGTGGTTGTCTTCCGATTAAATGGATTCTCTTTACAAGTGCGCTGAAGATGACAGTGATGAGAGAGCATTAATCAAAGATATTGAACAATGAAAGTAAGAAAGGAAAGCTTCTGGACTCTGGAGGATTTCCTGGATCTAAGATGTGAAAACTTGAAATGAAATCTCGTACACACACTCTTCTTGTCACAGCTGCCCTGTTGCTTGATCAATTAAAAGGGACATGAAATGCAGTTTCTGATTTTTATATTATGTTTCTCATCGTTAGTTAATGAAGTCTGCAAAGTTTTTTGCAGCAATAAAGATCCGATATTTGTAAAAATGACCATTTTCCATCTGCATTTTCACTCTGTGAAAAACACTCAACTTCAAGGGGTGTTACCTCTTGCAGAAAAGGAACTAAACACCAACTGCGGTGTTTGGCTAACTTCATCGCACCTTATCCACAGCCTTCTTTACAGAATGTTGTGCATTTTATGAAACTTGCAGTATGTTTTTAATGTAACGTAACCTCTTTTATGTGTACTAGGGATGTAGCGATTCACCACGAGCCGGTTGAAAATCGATACAAATATGTGACGATTCAAATCGGTCGAGATGTTAAACAAATCGCGATACATTTGGGGGTGGGAGTTTATATGAATGTATCTCTGAGGGGAACTGACTGTCTTTAGAAAAGATTAGATGATATTTTCTTTTCATCACATCTCTGTATAATTCATATTAAAGCAGTTCATAAGCGCTGCACTGCTTTGTTTACAGTGGTAACCAAGGAAACGCTGTATCCTGCTGCTCCATAAGCGCCACCTGCTGTCAGAGAGTGAATCTGCATCTCATTCAGAGCTTCTGCTCTTTGTTTCGTGCAGATGTTTTATGTAGTGTAGTTTCACAAAACTAAAGTCAGAGCATTCTGTTTTTGCTTTAAATTTTCAAATTATGCAATCTAATTTAGATTTAAAAAACTGCTCATGTAGCATGTATTCAGCATCTTTGTTTGGATTGAGATTCAAATGCAGTGGTTGCCTATAATTTTGAATGGAAAGAGCACAGGTAGCCTTTGTTTATATGAAGAGACATTTCTTTTCATTTATAATTTGTCTTAAATCTAATTTTGTTTAGAAAAAATCGTAAGAAAATCGAATCGTGAAATCAGTATCGTGAATCGAATCGTGAGTTGAGTGAATCATCACATCCCCAATGTGTACATATACATATTTTGATTCTACATTTTATGACCCCTTTAAATATTTTGCTACTAAACTTTGTTACATTTCAACAAATGTCATTACCTCCCAACAACAAAGGTAATTACACTTGCTTTCTTTGCCATTTACCAATAACTGCATAAATACATGCCAAGTATCTATTACTAGTTCTACAGTACCGCTTTTGAGTTAGCCTTTGAATTAGTAATAAGGGTTTGGGATGTTGAATCAGTGGCATAGGTAAGTAGTTCTACACATAAGAACTGCCTTTTTAGCACAAAAAAAAAAAGTTTTGGTGTGGTAACTAGTTTAAGCGGAACAATTTCTCATTTGAATTTAAATTCTAATATGAAAATAGACAGTTAATTGAATTAAAATAGGTTTTGACTATTTTTGATCAAGTAAATGCTTTGTTGGTGAAAAGAATAGGAAAGCATAAAAATTTCTTGACTGATTCAAAACTTTGAACAGCAGTGTGATCTTGACAGTAAATCTAACCTTTCCTGGAGCGCTGGGTGTCTGTGAATAGGGGGACGGTGGTCGTCTCACACTGCGATTGGTTTGTGGAGTAGCTGGTGCTGAGCTGGTATTGGTAGGTGGTGGTGGAGGAGGCAGGTTTGGAGAACAGTGAGGTTGAAGCTTAGTTTTTTGGGACAGGGCAGAAGCAGGAGCGTTGATTGATGGTTCAGACACACTCTTGGTAAACAAATGGTCCTCAGCAGCAGCAGGTTGCTGGGGGACTGCACTGTGGTCTGAGGAAGAGGAGGAAAGGCTCTCTGTGCTCAGAGCTAGAGAAGAAGCAGGAGAGGAAGTCTGAGATGAAAGAAGAGCTAAAGAACAGCAGGAAAGAGATGACCCGGGAAAAAATATATAACAAAAAAATACATACATGTGAGTAGTTAGTCAGCTACAATATAGTGTAACAACCATGGGGCCTCAAACATTTGAGAGGGCTGTAGGACGAGTTAAAAGTATTTATATAAATAAATTATTAATATATTAAAATATTCTAATTCTAAATGAAAATGCTCAGTTTACACCAGTGTGGCCGCATAAAAATCTAATGTTTTTCAAGTTTTACCCCACAGTAACTACAATTTTTATTGATTAAGGTCATACAGTTCTTGAAACTTCATGAATTACTAAATAAACTGTGATGAATTCTTAATTAGGGCTGTCATGATTAGGGCTGTCAAAAAAAAATTATAATTTCGAATATTCGTCGAATTGTATTAAACTATGCATACATACATGATGCTGTTTTGTTTATAGTTGTTTAAGCAACTTAATTAATTATAATTGGTTTATAAACATTATTTTAAACATTATGCACTTTTTTCACAGATAGTCATGTTCCCTTATGCTTTGAAGAAACGTGCATTAGTAATATTTTGCTCGATGCGCCCTCTTGTGGCTTCAGGAGAGAATCCAAAAGCTTTTCTTCGCCCTAACTGAAATTATGCATTTTAAATTTGAATATAATAATTTAGTTTTTCAGCCATTTTGACAGCCCTAGTCATGATTCCTCGATTAAATTAAGAGTACTCGATTATAAAAAAAATCCTCGAATGCATTTTGCCCATGTCGTTTAACCGGCAAAATTCCACGGACAAGAATCTATGAAAAGCATTATTAGACCATTTTCTAAAGCTGCATGAAATATTAAAACCATTTAAAAATCATAATAAAGCATAGTGCTGTTGTGAATTTACAAAGCTGTGATTTAATTAAATAAATATATGTGCCGTGGATTTAATATGCGTTTTATTTTTATGCATGTAGGTTGAGTGCATCTCAGAGTGGCTCTGTTCACATTAAATGCTGCTCCACACGAACAGTTATCATTTACCATCTCAAACTCCATCTTTGCATATGCTGTGAGTCTGAGTTGCTTATAAGGTTCATCTGGGAACAATGTGCACCATTCTATCTGATTTACAAGGTAAAACATTCATAAACCTATGCCAATCGTCAGGCCATTGGCGCCCTCTGCAGGCATTTGATATAATACATAATGTACATAAGTTATGATTATATTGTTTTATTACATTATGTATTTTATATTGCGTCGAATTTAAAATAAAAATCCACATTCGAATGTAAAAACGTTGCATTCGAATTTTAGGTGTGCGTTAAGGAGGTAGCCTTATCAGTGGCACACGAGATGCGATGACGATGTATGTCATTGCATTTTAATGTTTTTGTTAGCCTATCCAGTTGAAGCCACTAGATGCGGCGCTGCTGCGTTGTTAATTACAACTATTGTGGGAAAAGAGAACATCAATGCGGAGATGATGTTGTTTACGTCAAAACTGAAATCAAGCCCCACACGAACAGTTATCATTTACCATCTCAAACTCCATCTTTGCATATGCTGTGAGTCTGAGTTGCTTATAAGGTTCATCTGGGAACAATGTGCACCATTCTATCTGATTTACAAGGTAAAACATTCATAAACCTATGCCAATCGTCAGGCCATTGGCGCCCTCTGCAGGCATTTGATATAATACATAATGTACATAAGTTATGATTATATTGTTTTATTACATTATGTATTTTATATTGTTTTATTACATTTACATTTAGTCATTTAGCAGACGCTTTTATCCAAATCGACTTACAAATGAGGACAATAAAAGCAACTAACAAAAGAGCAACAAAATATTAGTGCAAATGACAAGTCTCGGTTAGCCTAACGCAGTACACGTAGCAACATGTGTTTTAACACATTATTACATGTGTTTTGTTCAATAAAACCATATGATTACTTGCGTTTGATATTTTATTTGAACCAATTATTCTTGCCTCATTGCTATGTATTTTAAGTCATTTTAAAGTCCATTGTTTGCTTAGGTCTATTTTTATTACCAAAAACAAAAAAACAAAAAAAACCGGATTACTCAATTATTCATTAGAATAATGGAAAGAATAATGGAAAGATTACTCGATTATCAAAATAACTGTTAGTGAATTAATTTAATTAATTAAATGTAATTAAAACAAGTTGGAATACCTATATACAGCAGAAATACAGGAAGTATTGTAGCAAATAATGGTGGTAGGGGGCACCTTTCAATATTATAGTGGACGATTCAAATTCAGTCTTCACCGGCTCTTAAGTTATGTAAAGCAAAATATATGATGTCAGACACTGTAAGCAACTAACCTGATGTAGAAGAATTCGGAGCTTTGGGTGCTGGTCGCTTCTTCCTTCGGACACTTATGGGACTTTCAGAAGGGGCAGGACTTTGTCTTCTTGTGTCCCCAGATGTGATTTCAGAAGCCTGAGTGATCCCATACCAAGGATGACTAGCCACCACAGGACCAGGGGGATCTTCAGGACATGTTTCTGGCTCTTCTTCCTCATCATTATCAAAGGGATTTGGAGGAGAGGATGGTCTTGATTCCTCCTCCTTTTGAGAAGGAGATGAACTAGTGCAGGGAGGTATAGCTATACCTGTGGGTGGGCGAGGTGCTGGTTTCTTCTTGGTTTCTGATTGGACAAGAGCCAGCCAGGGTGGGTCTTTTGGTTTAGGAGTGTCATTGGCCTTGCTAGAGCTGGGGAAGGAATGCATTACAACCACTGAGAGGAAATCACAAAGAGATACACTACTGGTCAAAAGTTTAGAATAATTTAGTGTTTTATGTTTTTGAAAAAATATTATGCTTAAACTTATGCTCACTAAGGCTGGATGTATTTTATGAAAATGACAGTAATAATTTGAAATTTTATTAGTATTTAAAATAACTGTTTTCTATTTCGATATACTTTAATATTTATAATAGGCCCACCAGTAACTTTAGCCCTGCTTCAGTGTCACATGATCCTTCAAAAATGATTCTAATAAGCTTTTTTATTTTATTAATATGAATTATTATTATTATTATGATTTCTGAAGGATCATGTGACAGTAATGGCTACTGAAAATTCTGGTTTGCTGTTTTCAAATATATGCAAATGTAAAAAAAAGAAAAAAGAAAAAAAAAGTTTTATTTGAAATTGTAATCATTTTTCACAATGTTACTGTTTTTACTGTATTTTTGATTAAATAAATGCAGCCTTGGTGAGCATAAGGGACTTTTTTCAACAACATCAAAAATCCTAATTATTCCAAATTTTTGAACAGTAGTGTACATAAAAAATAAACAAAACCCGAAGAATGCATAATAAGAGATAAAGTAAAGGAGATGTCAGCAATTATCTTACCGAGCAGGTGAGTGCAGTCTTTCTCTTGGCACAGGAGCCTGAGGAATTTGAGTATCAGGATCTCCTAGAACCACAATTAAAAGACAAACATTACATTTAGCAAATATAAAACATGGAAACAACATGTAATAGAATGGCCAGAATAATGTTAGACAGTTTTATGAATGCAGACAAGATCAGCATCAGTGCTCACCATTGACAATAGGGCTTTCAGAAGGTCTAGGTGGGCGTGGCCTGGGTACAGGCCGAGGAGCAGGGGTGAGCTCAAATACCCGTCTAGGTGCTGGAACCGGTCTACCTTCTGCTGCAGTAGTCTTCACCAAAGTTGCTGGCCCATCGCCATTGGCTACATCAGCGGCTGGCTTGTGGTCTTCTTGTTGTGTGTCCTGATCCTCCTCTTCAGATTCATCAAAAGGATTTGGTGGACTAGAAGAACAAGGTGCTCCGTGCTCTGTCTCGACTTTTGATCTGCCATCTGGTTGCTTACTTGATGATTTTTCTATTTCTGTTATTTCCTCTTCCTCTCTCTCCGGGGTGATCTCAGCATCGCTGTGTGATGCTTTAGATTCTAAACTCCTATTGTTTGGGTCTTCTGGGCTTGTTGAGGTTAATTTGTCTAGTTGATTACTCATATCTGAATGACCATTCTGATTGGTGGAGGCAGACCTGGTGAAGTGGTGTGTGCAAACTAATGATCCAGGATCCTCTGTAAACTTGTAAGAGCCAGGAAGTAAAGTTCTGCTGCATTCCCTACATCTGAGATAAAAGCAGACATTCTCACAAAAGCAGTGATGACAGCAGAGGGAATAATAAGTAATGTTATTTTTAAGCTTTAAATAATAGAACAATTCAGATACAGATGTTATGCTAGGCAGTTGACCATTCACCTGAAGCAGTTCCGATGATAAAGTTTGCCATCAACGAGGATCCTCTGAACCAGGTGAACATGCTTTCCACAGACTGAACAGATGCTGCTCAGAGTACTGCGTTTTGGTTGGAAATCTGCACCAGACTATGTAGCACCAAGAACCAGGATGAGGATGGAAGGTTAAAAAAAAAAAAACATGGAAAGGTTTGGTAGAAGAAAAGATGGTGAGATCCACTGATGTTTATTTGGATCCGTATTTCAGATTTTTTGTACTTTGCTAATACTTTGGTCTGTATAAATATGCATACAAGACCAATTACATACATACTTAACATTATGGCATTACAAAATTGGAACACATTTCTTCAACAAGCAAACAATGTAAAAAAAAAAAAAAATGTTATACTTTGAAAACACAGGATGACAATACAGATGCTTATATCCAAAGTAACACATTGAGAAATTTTACTGATAGCCAGAAAGAGAAACAGAAAGGATAAAGGACAATAAAGAAAAGGAGGAGAATTCTGTCAGTGAATGGGGGGCATAAGGAGTATGGGAGAACATTTCTGGAGAAGCAAAATTCTCTGAACTCCAGCTCACAATATCTACCACAAACCAAATATGTGATTTAGCTCTGACTGCTGATTTCATAAATGAATTAGAGCAAATGGCAGAGTATTTTGCTCTGAATACATGGAATCAGGCCAAAATGAGATCTCACTGCTCTCCATCTTGTGTAATAATAAATTCCACTCCACTTATGGTGCAACTGCAAATCTTTAAATGTGGTTAAAAGATTGAATTTTCGGAGAATTTGTCTATGCTCATACAGAGTGGTTGTTAGGTCTACAGCTATCCAGGTATTAAGATTTTAAAAAGAACAAGAAAACGTCTGCTTTTTAAAAACAATGTTGTATTCTTTACCTCAGTCCGAGTGTCACGGCCCTCTGGAGGAGCAGATGGTCTCTTTATGGCTGGTTTGATGTGACCAGGACCACCAGGGCTCTTTATTTTTGTGGAGACAGCTAAATAGAGGATACAAACATTCAGTAGCATGTGTCCAGCATATTTTTCTACATTAAATGTACTAATTCAAGGAATATACAATACAATTTGAGTTCTTTTGACAGCACAGGGGACATACTGTCAATTACACCAGAGATATAGCTAAGCCAAAAGGCAGTACAAACTTGAAAAAAATTAAAAAATGGCATTGATTCATAAACCTAAACATAAAAATAAAAAATAAAAAAATCTGGACAGGTAAATTGCTCAAACAGCAAAGCTGGTTTGTTTACTTGCACCACCTAATGGTTAATACAGTGTAAATCAGTTCAAACCATTTACATGCAAAACAATGAGAAATAAATTAATCCTAAAAACTGCAACCCAGTGTGAGGCGTAGTGCAAACCAAATCATTCTTATTCAATGCAATCAGGTTTGGAAATTTATTGTCAACAAGAACATAGTTCTTTCTGACTATGGATCTCTTTTTTCCCCCCCATTTTCGGTGTTTACTGCAATGTGATACTGCTTAAATGACTCATGTATTACAACACCTCAGAAAATCACTTGCACTTTCAGTCACACTTGCAGTGTTCTGTGACATGACATGCGCTCAGACAATGACTGCATACAGAAATATATTGCAGAAAAAAATAAGTGCAGCACTGCAGTCATTTCACATCTGCTGCTAAGATTTGTACAAAATGGACAAGAATTTAATCTTAATGGATTGGCTCATAAGAGTCATTTGTATGCGACTGACACTACACACAGAATGTGCTGCAAGTTTTTTTATTTACTAAGCTTTGGGAGAGATTATAAAAAGGCATTGCGGTTGTCTCTCTGTGTGTGTAAATAAAATGTTAGTATAAGTTAGCACATCTATTTGCAGTGTTCAATACTCACTATGAGATTTGTTGGTGAAGTAGTTATAATACTGAGATACATAGGTGATGATGCTCAATCTGTCAGGCACGCTCATGGACACCATGTCTTCTGGATCCAGCAGGGCTGGAATACCCAACTCACTCTCAGCAACCTCAAATGCCTTTGAAACGAAAAGAGAGAGGTCACATAACAGCAGAGCATAAACAACCAAATACAGTGCACAAAAAGAATTATAATTATGGCACAAACTGTTATATTAAACACAAAAATAAAAAATAGTGCTGGGCTTTTAAAAAAACAAAAAACAAACATACAGCAGTCCTAAATGTCTTGTTTTTCGTAATGATTTTGCCCATAAGCTTTTAAAAATAGCAGATGACAGTGATAAACACCTATTTTATCAATAATAACAACCAAATGATTATTATAAAAAATACTTAACTACCAGTATCTACACTAGCTGTAAGTCTATGGCTCTGCAGTTTACAGTTAACATTTTGGTATTTATATTTTGGAGCTATAGTCAATGTCAACTTGCATTTAAAGGGTTAGTTCACCCAAAAATGAAAAATCTGTCATTTATTACTCACCCTCATGTCGTTTCAAACCCGTAAGACCTTCATTCATCTTCAGAACACAAATTAAGATATTTTTGATGGAATCTGAGAGCTGTCTGACCCTGCATAGACAGCAATACAACTGAAATGTTCCCAAGTCCAGAAACATAGCAAGGAGATCGGTAAAATAATCCATGTGACATCAGGGGTTCAACCGTAATTTTACAAAGCTACGAGAATACTTTTTGTGTGCAAAACAGAAAAAAAATAACGACTTTATTCAACAATTCATCTCCTCCGCGTCACCCTGTAGCGCCATTTTGGAGAGTATCCGCTGGACGTAAACAACGCATGCTGTTCTGTGTCAGCAGCGTCACGCCGGATCTGTTTCCTACGTTGTTGTGATTTGATCTAAACGAAAACAGCGTATCCATGTGACGCAGCTGACACAGAACAGCATACACTGTTTACAGGGTGATGAGGAGGAGACGAATTGTTGAATAAAGTCGTTTTTTTTT